CCACCCGCAGCAACGGGAAGAAAGGCCCGGTGATCCGCTTTCTTAAGGACTGCTGCTGTTGGGTGCCCTCGGGGCTCCTAGCGGCCCCGCGCGTGACAGCCCCGCCGGGCCCCCACGCGGACCTTTCCGTTAGCCCCGAAAGCAGAGCGCTCCTTCCTACTCCTCGCGCGCGGGGTCCGCGGGCTGTTGCAGGCTTGTCCGTTCGCGGTCTGGGGCTTCGGCGGCGTGACGTTTTCGGAGAGTGCTACCAGTTACTTTAAGGAGGGACAGCCACCTCCGCAGCACGGGGTTCTTGTGTTTGATAGTGTGCACACACCCCCACCCCCACCCCCGCGCCCGTTACTGGTGACGCAGGGGTGCGCACGGAGTCTCGGATTCTCCAGAAGAAATCCATCTTTCCAATAAGTCTCAGCGCACACAACGCAAACCCGGTGGCAAGAACGGTTTTATGCCACAGGACTTACACTCTTGGTGTCTTCGTTAGCAAGAAGCGCCGCTTCCTCTCCTGCCCCCCCTCCCTCGCCCCTCTCCACGCTGTTTTCCTTTCTTCTTGCGGGAAGGGGAGGGAGTGCGCTCCTTGTGGGCAGAGGCATGGAGCCCGTTCCTTGAGCTCCGACGCTTGTTGAGCGAGCACGAGAACCGAACCGAGACGCGCACGTCTTTCAGGGCGGGCTGGGCCGCGGGCGTTAATGAAATGGCAGTGCATAAAGACCCCACGCTCCTGAAAGCCTGCTTCGAGCCCTTAGCAACAACCCCCGCCCCATGCCGAGTCGGTAGGCAAAGGTGATTTGAACCGTGAGCGCCCTTGGGAAAACCCTTTCAAGGTGTTTACCGGGATCTGGGTGGATCCACCGTGTGTTGACTGCTGCGCCTGGCCCTTGTCGGCCATTTCAGAGCAGGTCCCCGCCACCTCCCTCTGTAGTGCCCAGGGGCTCCTCCATTTGCCCTACCCTCTCTTTGCCCAGAAGCCCTGGCACCCACGGCCCCCGGTTTTGCCCAGGAGCCCTGGTGGTGCCGTGATTAAGTGTTCAGTCAGTGGTTAACCACCGAAAGGGCAGTGGTTTGAACCCAGCCCCCTCTCCGAGGAAGAATGAAGTGGCACTCTGCTTCTGCAAAGGTGACAACTTGGGAAACCCTCCGGGCAGTTCTGCGCTGCCCTGCAGGGCGGGCACGGTGAGTCAGAATGGACTGGCAGGCAGTGCTTCTCTTTGGCGTTTGTTGTAGTTCACTCTTCTAACACGCCGGGGAATTGAAACCATACAGATTGTAGCTTTCTCAGACAGGCTTGCTATTTTTGTTTGGAAAAACGCAGCGTTTAAGATCCTTTCATGCCTTTTCCTGGCTCATTTCTTGCTCCCAACGGATGCTCAGTGCCCCCTAGCTTGTTTATCCCTGGATGCGCAATGCCCCTTAGCTGGTTTATCCCTTCACCAGAGGGATAACCTTATCAAAACATTACCAACAGGACTCTGTAACAAGCATGTGTCAAAGATACAGCTAATCCACTAGCCTGAGGGGCCGCAGTCAGTAAAGCCCCAGGGCTTATAATCATGGGAATTAGTGCAACAGAGCCGCCCAGCGTCCCACCAGGCAGTCGGCTTGCCATCCTCTGTGACAAGAAGTGCCGGTCCACGGACCCTTCCAGGTGCTAAGACTCGACGACAGAGTGTCGCCCCTGAAGCCCTTGTCGGCGTGTCTGTCTAGGTGGTGGCTGGGGTGCTGGCAGCGATGCTGTCCACATTTCCAAGACCAGCGGAGCCCCCGTGGTGGGCGGAGAAGAAGGGAAAGCAAGCCCTGGCCCAGGCAGGCACACTGCAGGCTCCCAGGGGAGGCGCCCAGGAGGGAGGGCCCAGCCAGGGACTCTCACTTACCAAGGATGGTGAAGATGGCTCAGAACCCGGGATGCTCCTCCTCCTGCTGCGCTCGGGACCCCACCAGCCAGCGGACTCCATGGCAACTGACAACAGGGCCTGATAGCAATCAGGGAGCTAACCCCCAATGATCCCTTCCACCACCTGCCTTTCTAAATAAAGTTTTATTGGCACTCAACCCCTTTCCTGGGCCTGTTGTCGGGCTGCTCTCCACAGCCGCTGGGGCTGGGCTGAGCCTAGCCTCTGGGACAGAAATCCCTAGGCCTGCAAAGCCATTAGGGAGTGGCCCTATACTGGAAACTTTACCGGAAGCGGAGCCCCTTCCTCAGGCTCCTGCTGGTCCCAGGCAGTTGGGTCATTTCTGGAGCATTGTCCAGGCCGGAAGGCTTCTGTGTTGGGGAAGTTTTTGTTAGGCCATTGCTGACGCCTCTCTTGAATTAAAAGGCTGACCTCCAAGCCAGGAAATGGGCCCCTTCCTGCTCTCCCAGGCTCGCCAGGATGGACCCCAGAGGATGCCTCTGGCCTCATTGCTTCCTCCCATTGAATTCCAGCCTCTGGGCCCTGCAGACCGAGGAAGTGGTGGCGGGGATAAAAAAAGAAACAGAACAGAACGGTTGTCCTGTGCTGCCAGTTGTGACGCCTAGTGACCCTGTGGGGCAGACAGACTGGGAGACCTGCCCCAGAGGGCCTCTCTTGTCCGTACAGGAGCAGACTGACGGCTCTTTTCTAGAGGGAGATGCTGAGTGGGTCCGAGCCCCCAACCTTTCCGAGAGCAGTCAAGGCCTTAATCACCACACCACCAAAACAAACAAACAAACAAACAGAAAGGAAAGCAAAAGAAGAAACCCGAGCACTGTCAATTCCCACTCTCAGGGATCCCAGAAGGCAGAGCAGACCTGCCCCAGGGCTGCGGTCTCTGCAGAAGCCGGTGGACACGCTTTTTTGTGGAGCAGCCGGTGTGGTCAGTCCATGACCTTTCTGTTCGCAGTTGTGCGCGCTTCCCTGCTGCACACCAGGGCTCCTGCCCATTGGCCCCCCCACGTCTAACCAACCAACCAAGAAAGAAACACTGCCTGGTCCTGGCTCCATCCTCACCGCGTTTCTGTTTGAACCCATTGTTGCAGCCGCTAAGTCGGTCCATGTCTCCCTCTTTATCTGCCGCCCCTCCATCTTACCAAGTGTCATGTCCTTTTCTGATAACCACCCAAAGTCAACACTCAAAAAAGCTCTGCGCTGCAGCTGATTCTGACTCCCAGGGACCCCATAGGACAGGGTAGAACTGCCCGTGTGGGCTTCCGAGACTATAACTCCTTATGGGAGTAGAAAACCCCGTTTTCTCCCTCAGAGGGGTTGGTGGTTGAACTGCTGACTTTGTGGTTAGCCCAACTCGTGACCACTACGCTGCCTGGGTTGCTGTAGCTGGGGTCAGATGCACCTTCCTCCTCGAAGCGACATCTTTACTCTGCAGCGCTTCAGAGGTGTCTTGTGAGGCAGTGTGATGGGAGCATCCTTTAAGGAGTCCTGGTAGTGAGATATTGGGCTATTGACCATGAGATCGGCAACAATTTGAAACCACCCGCCGCTCCTCAGCAGAAAGAGGAGGTTTTCTACTCCCGTAAAGAGCTACAGTGGGGGAGGGGGGGGAGGGCAGTTCTACCCTAGTCGTTTGGTGTCCTGACTTGCTGCTCCCTCGAGCATTGATTGTGGATACAAGTGAAATGAAATTCCTGGCAACTGCACTCTTTTGTTCCTTCATCCGGATGTCGTGCACTTGTGAGAGACAGTGGACTCCCGACAGCTGTCGCCCGGGCTGTGTTCTGAGAGCCAGTGTCCCTCCAACAGGCAGGGACAGCTGTAGCACCCAGGACGGTATCTTCCCAAATGGCGTGGGAGCCGTAAATGGCATCGGAGCAAGCTGCTTAACTTTCCCGTGCCTCCGTCTCTTCATTTGTAATATGGAGATAATCGCATATCTATTTCCTGGCCGTGCAGTCCCGCTGGCAGAGCCAATTACGAAATTCCCCGGGCAATTTGCAAGCTGGTTGTTAGACACAGCTGCTAGTGAAAACGAAATGGCACGGACTTCGCTGTTCAACTAGTTAACGTCAAAGACGAAGGCAGGCCGGCTATGCTCCAAGCCGACCATTTCCTAACGATCTTTCCACGGTTGACTTTTGATTGTATACTTGGGGTGGGTGGGTCTATTTGCCCCTGTGGTGTCTGTGTGGTGGAAAGACTACAACATGGGGCGCAGTTCTGGCTCTTAGGTCACCTCTGGGCTTAGAGACATCGGGCGGCAGCGGTGGGTGCCCTTGTTAGCTGCCGTCGAGTTGGCACCTGGCCCTGCGCCATCATCTCAGCCAGTGGTCCCTGCCCGAGCCCCTGGTTGTAATCACTGTGTGAAGTTCTGTGCCTCTCAAGTCAGGGGTCTGGGTGGGGGTGGTCTCCTCATGGGGTGACTGATGGATGAGCTTTTTATTGGCTACTTTTTGGAAGTAGCCACTCCACCAAAACCTGTCTACCCTGGGTGACCCTGGTGAGACTTGAAATGTCGCTGGCATGGCTTCCAGCATCACGAGTCACCCGCCAGCCACCTGAGTGCCACACACTGCCCTCAGTGGTGGGACTTCACTCGTGTTTGTTTGAAATTGGCCCTGGTGGCAAATGCCACAGATCAGGGCCTCGCCCTGCCCTGATACCCCCTAACCCCCACTTTAAACCCCCAAACCAGACCCGTGGCTGTCGAGTTGATTCCTGCTCTCGGAATCAACTGTGCGTGCGTGCGTGCGTGCGTGCGTGCGTGCAACGGTGGTCCCTGGGGAAGACTCGTTGGCAGGCATCTTTATGAGAACCAGTCACTAGGCCTTTCTTTCATGGTGCCTCTGGATGAGGTAGCACCTCCAGCGTGTAGGTTAGCAGTCCTGCCTGAAACATTGGCATCCCCTTAGGGACCCACCTACGGGAGCAGGCGTTGGGGGTGGGTGGGGCATCAGTGAGTTAAGCATGGCTGAGGCTGTGTGTATTTTGCTCGGCGTTCGTGGTGCTTTGACATCCGCCTTGCAGCCAGGAGACGGACGGAGCCGCTGACCTGCCTGTTCTCTCTCTCCCTCTCTCTCTCTTTCCCACCAGTGTGTCCTCCCATCTGCAAGTCGCACGGCTGCACGGAAGAAGGCCTCTGCTGCCACAACCAGTGCCTGGGCAACTGCTCCGAGCCCGACGACCCTACCAAGTGTGTGGCCTGCCGCAACTTCTACCTGGACGGCAGGTGCGTGGAGACCTGCCCGGCCCCGTACTACCACTTCCAGGACTGGCGCTGCGTGAACTTCAGCTTCTGCCAGGACCTGCACAACCAGTGCAAGAACTCTCACAGGCAGAACTGCCACCTGTACGCCATCCACGGCAACAAGTGCGTCCCTGAGTGCCCCTCCGGCTACACCATGAACTCCAGCAAGTGAGTCTGGGTGTTCAGGGGTGGGAGGGGGGCCTGTGGGGTGGAAGGGGTGCTGAAGGAACGAGCTGAGCATGAGGGTGGCCGCTGCGGGGAGACTCCAGTCCCTCAGTGCCAGCTGCCAGCCAGGGGACCCCAACTCCCCGAAGCTCCTGGGTGGGTCACATCATAGGACTTTCAGTCTCCGAGTTCTCAGGTGTTCACTGCCGGGCCTTTCTTCCGAGTGGCCTCTCGGTGGAATTGAACTGGTGCCAGCTTTTGGGGCAGTAGCCGAACGAGGGATTCACAGCTGCTTCCTTTTGGCTCCCAGGCTTCAGCCGGAACTCTTCAGACTCTGTGTCTGAAGCGTCAACAAGGAAGTCTTTCAGGCTCGGGGGATCAGGTCCCACAGCCTCTGCCGAGACCACTCAGCTCTGCTCTCGTGACACAAAGACGGCCACCCCAGGGCCGGGCCACTGCCCTGGAGTCCGTGCTGACTCTGAGCGGCCCTCCAGGGCATGCATGGCCCAGCTGCCCTGTAGGTTTCCCAGGACGGAAACCTGTGTGGGAGCAGACATCCTCCCCCCGCCTGCTCCCCAGGAGCCCCTCCTCCAGCAGGCAGAGGGGACTCAGTATGTAGTCAACCAGCCCTGAGGTCGGTGACAGGTGGCTCTCAGGTGGGTCCATCCTGGGTGGCACCACAAGCACAATGTGGCCCCAAGGCCAGTCACCTGTGACAAAATCAGAAGCAGATGCAGGTGTGTCCTGAGGGCTGCGTTTGTCTTTGGGGCCGAAGGACAGTCAAACGACTCAAACAAAACTCAGAGCCATGGAGTCGAGGCTGACTTACAGCCACCCTGTAGGAGAGGGTCGAACCGCTCAGGGGTATCTGAGACTGCGACTGTTGATGGGTGTAGAAGCCTCTTCTTTCTTTCAGTAACGTTATAGGAGCCTCCGATTTTGCAGGGGACGTGGCATTGTCTAGTTGGGGGAGAGATTCTTCCCTGGGGTGGTTTGCATCCCCAGCAGACAGGGATACAATGCCCTCCCAAAAAGAACATCCCAGCCGAGCATGTTCTTGGTGCTGGGTATGTCTGGGTATCTAGGTGTGAGAACTCTGTTCTGAGCCCAGAGAATAAGGCTTCTAAGTCCTGTCACCTGGGGCCCTCCGCAGCGACCATCTGTCAGGCCCAGTGGGAGTCTCACATGGGTACTACTCTGTGCTCACCCTGAGCTCCGTGGGTGTTCTCTCTCTTTAGCCTCTTGTGCACCCCCTGCTTGGGCCCCTGCCCCAAGGTCTGCCACCTCCTGGAGGGCGAGAAGACCATCGACTCGGTGACATCAGCCCAGGAGCTCCGAGGCTGCACCGTGGTCAACGGCAGTCTGATCGTCAACATCCGGGGAGGCAGTGAGTCTCCTGGCGAAGGGCCGGGGTGGGGGGTGGGGGTGAGAGGGAGACTGCTGTACCGAGACCCACTCTGATGGGTGGGCCCCCACACCGCCTCCCAGACACTGCTGAGTCCTTCCTGACTCTCGGTGGCCCCAGGTGTGCAGATGAAAACTGCCCCATCAGGTTGCCAGGCCTTTCCTCTGAGGCCCCCCCAAGAAGCCTTAGCAGCTCGGTCAGCGATAGAGCACCGAACCATGTGCAGCCCAAAGAGACCCCGATGCGCCCTCCCTGAGTGGTCTTCACAGCGTCCATTCCTGGTCCCCGTGGGCTGGGCTCCAGCAGGGGGCGGCTTCCAGTCTAGAAACCAGCAGTGGAGTCCTGACCCCTGCCCTTCCCCCAGAGGGACTGCTTGACCAGGCGTGCCTTCTCTCTCTCTCTTTTTTTTTTTGGTGGTTGAGATACAAATGTATAAGACAGATACTTGCCAACTCACTGCTTGGCACATGGGGTTCAGTCATCATGGACAGCCTCAGTCTCAGGCCTTCAAGGCCCACCCCGAGTGTGGCCGGGGTGGAAACGCAGCTGTTGTTAGTTCTGACCCGTAGCGACCTCACGCACAATGGAAGGAAGCACTGCCCAGTCCTGCGCCATCCTCAGACTCTCTCCTGTGCCTGAGAATCATCATGACAGCCATGGTGTCAGGCCATCTCTGTTTTGCCCCTGCACTTTACCAAACATCATGCCCTTCTCCAGAGACTAGTCCATACTGACAGCATGCCCAAAGTATGGAAGATGGAGTCTTGCCATCCTTGCCTCTAAGGAGCACCCTGGCTTCCGATACAGATCGGTCTGTCCTTTTAGCAGTGTGTGGTACTTTCAGTATTCTTCTCCAGCACCACAGTTCAGACACATGCATTCCTCTTCCATCTTCCTTATTCAGTGTCCAACTTTCGTACGCATACGAGGTGATTGAGAAACACCATCGCTACGGAGGCCTTGTGCGGCAGATTTACCCCCGCAATAAGTCTTTGATCTCTTGACTGCTGCTTCCCCCAGGCCATGGAACTACTTCCTGAGAAACTCACTGGCTGGTCTCTTCTTTCCTTAGACAACCTGGCAGCCGAGCTAGAGGCCAACCTGGGGCTCATTGAGGAGATCTCAGGCTATCTCAAGATCCGCCGCTCCTACGCGCTGGTGTCTCTCGCTTTCTTCCGGAAGTTACGTCTGATTCGAGGAGAGACCCTGGAAGTCGGGTACGGGTGCCTGTGCACCAGTAATGGATTTTGTGGATTCAAAACATTTAGTGGCATGTGGGGGGTGGGTCACATCATAGGACTTTCAGTCTCCGA